TCTACTCATAAGTGAAGAACTGAGAAACGAATTTGGTATTGGGACCGAAATCTTGTAGTACCTCGATTTCTGCAATAGTAATTATCTCCAAATCCTGATAATAGACTTCCCAGAGTCTGTTGCTCTACCCAAGGGAGTTATGATGCAAGTAAGGGGAACGGCTCGCAAATTAAACGTTCGAATGTGCTAGGTGGAGAGTCACGGAAGTGACTAAGAGTCTCCATATTCTACGCAACATTTAACGCGGAGGGATAGTTAAGAACTCGCGGTTTTTTAGCAACTTTGCCCCTTCCTGAACCCCGGGTGTTAACGTCGCGGAGGTTTCGTAGACATCGGAGGGTTTCCGTGCAATTACCGCCGCAGAATCGCGAGAATTGGGTCGTGCAAACGTTTAATCTCCCGCTGGTGCTTGGACGTGTTGAACGGTCACCCGGACTGTCGCATGCATTACTTACTCCGATAGTGTACGGGAGCCTGAACGAGTACTATGGGAGTATAGTAGCTTCTCTGCTGATCTTATGAAAATATCAATCAATGAGCAAGATAGTTCAATTTTAGGTGAATAAGGGAGCCACCTCCGATTACGATGATTTTTCAATATGTTGTCAATGTCGTCACCCTGAGTAGTGTCGTGAAGGTTTTAGTTGGGGGTCGTTGTTTATCAGAAAGTTATTAACAAAAACATTTATTCGCAACAGTTATTTAGAGTTGGTTAAAGACAGTTCAATAGAAATATCTTTGTCAATGATACCTCACTGTTCTCTTAATGATTTTTTAATAGAAAACATTTGATATCCGGAAACGTTTTGAAGCCCATCACCACGGGAATAAATATTCTGCAAGAAAATCCATTTACCATTGATCCAGAAACCCTCGATTCTTAAAAATTATCGCAGTTTCATCGTCCTCGTCTTTCCTCCTTTCTATTCCTATCAGTTTCTCGGCTTACTTTGATTCGCCGCCGGTGCAATTAACTGCTGTCAACAGCACACGCGCGTTGAACCGGCCCGATACTTCCCGACGGGTGAAGGAAGACAAAACGAAGGGGGATGGAGCGGGAAAAAAGGAAAGTGTAACAGAGAGTGGAGTTCCTCGCGCCGTTGCCTCGAACCCGTGGATTTCCCCACTTTGTCGTGATCACATTCTCGCTTGGCAGCCACCTAGTCAAGATTCTGTCCAACTACCGGCTCTTATCTACCTGTTTACTCCTCCACCACCCCTTTACCTTTGCACCCCGACTCGCGATATCGATCTCCCGTTCTTTGTTCACACGTTCGTCGGGCTCGTTGAGCAACGTGTAGTTAAAGTGTTAAATTACCCTCTGAAAGTCTTCTCGGACAGCATATTCTCGATCTTCTTAGTGTAACGTTCTTCATTATTTCGCGGGTAGATAAGCAACCGATAACTCACAAACGTCCACAGAAGAATGAAATTACGGCCCTCCCCCGTTTTTATATACATAGTATACTCGTTTCCATACAATCGGACAATCTTTTTAATTAGGAAACACCGCCTGTAACTCAAGAGATTCCGTGTTCCTTCGAGAATTCAATGCACCCCGGTGACCGTTTATCGCTGATGGGTACACGCAGCCCTTCTGATCGTTGCTCGAACGGAAAATCAATCCTGCGAGTACCTTCCTGAGTGGTAATGGTCCACGATCCGGTCAAAGCTTAGTTCTCCGCGGCGTCCTCGAGCTTAAAGGACAAGGGAAATCCGATTCTCTCGTGCAATTTCTCCCGCAAATGATCCGCTATTGCCTGAACTGTCGGAGGTTCAGTTGTCTCCTCTCAGGATTATTCCACGCCCTAATATGCGTAATAATTCCCAAGGGAATAAACCATTATCGATTACTACAGTAAATCCTCGATTAACGTTCGAAGGCTCCTCCGCAATGACAAGGAAAGGTCCCCAGGTATAACGTTGACTTTTTAACGAGGTATAGCACATTGATAGAGCTTGGAATCCCAACGTTAATGGTATTTGTTTCAGCCGCATGTGGCCATTAGTTTATGAAATATTTAATGTTCAGTGTCGTGGAGCCTTCGAACATTCATCGACGATTGACTGTACTTCGATGTTCCACCCTCATCTCTGCGTTTGTACTAATACAGCTGACAAGAAAACGGATTGATGGAGCATTGATCGAGGATTTACTGTATCATTTAAAAACCCCTGGAGTACACTACCTACAGGCGTCAACAATGCACAGTGGGCAAAAGGTTGAACACTATCCACGTTCTCCTATGATCATTTTCCAGAATCGAACCTCAAGAAGTCGATTTCCACGATTATGATTCCGATAAATAAGAGATAAGAGGTCCCTCTGGAGATCTCTCCTTGTCAGTGTTGAGGAACCTTCGAACACTCACCGAGAATTTACTGTATCCGCAATATCCATCGCTTGTTCTCATTATCTCGTTTAACTTTAATTCATCATCTCGTAGCCACGTTACACGGAAAATTCTACCCTGTAGCTCATTCCGCATTCCTATCTCTGGCAAACTCAGCCGGTCGAAACTTCATCAGACCTTAATTGCGCGTCCTATGAATGCTTGATTACCACCACCACCACCCGGGTCCTTATTGCCGCGCACAATTGCCGCGTCATCCCCGCGTCCCGTCTTCAATTCAATTCGCCGGCGGAACAAGCGTCAATTAATCGTCGAACTGTTCTATTTTTCACCCGAAACCGAGACCACCCGGTCGTCCGTTTATGGTAAGTATTCGTATACGAGATTGCTCCGTGAAATATAAAAAGATCGCGTGGATTCATCGGACATGTCCAACACGCGTGGGATATCGCGTCCTGGGGGTAATTGGAAACCGAGGAAACTTGAACAATTGCCCCGAAAGTTCGTCCCCCAGCGAAGACGTTAATATCCCCACTTCACCTTGAAGTTGATCAACTCGACCGACCTAGCGGACAAAATTACGTCGCGCAGTCGCGATCCCCCCACGTCCACCCACGTTCTGAATAATGCAGCATGAATCTTAATCACGCTCTCATTGTACATACTCGCGGGAAATACAAATTTTCCACCGCAATTTCTACCGGGTCTGAGCGAACCGTTGCGGATCGGAGCTCTGCGGTGGTCGACTCTCAGGGAAACTGTGTGTGGTTCCAGGGAGCGTTGACGCTTGCAACATTAATACCGAGAAATTACGTTCTCCCCATGGAAAGGTGGGGGACGAACACAGCCAGGGTACGGGTCCACGAGCCAACCAAGCTTCTTCGCTTCTCTTTCATCCACCTGTTTCTACGGACCAAGCGGAAACGACCGCGTTCTCCACATTCAGATACGTTTCCCGATTTCTGGCCTCTTGTACGCCTAGGGTGGTGCAAGATCATTTATTAACGGGCGAGATATCACCGCTGGGAAAAGACGATGGAACTGGGAGTAGCCAGTCTTAAAGGTCTGCTTGAAATTCGGGCGGGTTAATTATTGAAAGTGGAGTACAGCTGTCGAGTGGAGAATCTGGAAATATTGAATATGTAACTCGGTTCTCGTTACGTTGGAATATATTATAGTAAGGCGGAACTATTTCTGAAAGTTAGCCGAATAATTGAAGCGTCCATGGTTCCACTGGTATTCGTCGAAAAGCGAAGTTTAACGCGGAGCTTGGATGTTTTATTAGCCTCGCCGGGGGAAGCTAGTTGCCGTGGTATGCTGAAGTGCTTGTTTACATCGTGTTATTGAGAAGCAAATATTATTCTTGTTCACTGTGTCGAGAATGCGAATTAAACCGTGTTTTATCGTACCCCCATTTCGAGCCGTGAGTTTCACCTTTTGAATGGGAATAACGGTAAATCCCTATTAGCTCCAGGTTAAATGCCCGTACGTCAACCCCACGAATAGGCGGATCTTACTTGGATTTAAACATTTGCAAAGTGTCTACTCATTCAAGAAGAAATATTTTACGATAAAAATTGGAATTACCACGTTCAATTAAGTAGAAATAACGAAATATTTTTTTCATCTTTTATTCGTTATTCGAAACTTTTTATCGAGTAGAAATTTAACCTTCCTTCAGCTGACTGCACGACCCAAAATAATCAGTCTCCATCTACCGGAGCATCGTTGTTTCAGCGAACCTAATCCGTACGGATTGAAATACACCCAGCCGATCCCTTACACTTGTTAATAATCGATTACCACCGGAGAAGCCAGAGGTAGTGTCGGGGTCAGTCCACACGTCACCGCGCGCGCAGTCTTTGAATCCTTTCAAGCTCGATTCCCAGCTAGACCGCGGCTTAACCGCTCGAAAAGCGTCCGTTCGGCCCGCACGCGCAACTCTATGACACGTGAAATCTTAAAGACACGACATGGCCGCGTGCGGTCTTTGAAAGATCTCTCTCAAAGGCGAGGGCCCCCAGGGGTCTTTGAAAACTTGGTGCTGGTCCTAGCAGTATTAGAAGCTCCGTTTCTGTGTGTGTGACCTAAGGGACGGAAAAATCAGCGTGGAACCACGGTGTACGCGTTGACGTCCCTGAAAACCTGAAGTGAGGCTTCATGTGGTCGGTTTCGTAATGCGCAACGGCCTGATCAAGGATGTAACAAAAATCTCGGAGGATCCATAAATGGGAGATTCGTGAGATGATTTGAAACAAGTTTTTCCTTAAGAAAAATATTGTCCGAGGCTTTGTTAACGAGATATTAACGAAAAATCCCCGACCAATCGGAGCGCGGGAGAAATCACCTCACGAGTCTCCCATCTCCGTGTCCTCCAACATTTTCGTTACACCCTGTATATGCGCAACCTACGCGGCGCTCCGGCTGTTTATCCATGTTCCCTTGCTTTACACAATGCCACGCAAACCGTGTGTATGTATACAGTGTGCATATTTTCTTGGTGTGCATTGGCCCGTGTATAATACGCGCACATATACACGAGTTCGCTTTACTACGCGTATACGGGTCCACTTGTACCAAAGCCACCCATCCCATGTATACATCATCTGGAAACGCATATATTTCCCTGTATGTAGGTGTACTCACTATTCCGGTGCCGGTGAATCTGCAGGGTAGCATAGCGTTGCCGCCGGTCTGAGCCAGGACATCCTTGGCAGACGCAGCCACCGAAGAAAGGACATTATTCTGGTTCTGGGTCTCCTCGGTGGCCGGCTTCGCGCCACGAATAGCACCGTCTGGAAATATTGAAAAGGCACCGTGTGTACTATATTACCGGGCGGACGGGAACACATCAATGGATCTGGGTTACACGGAAAATGGACGGAGGAAATTAACGCGACGCTATCGCGGAGGGGATCCTCACCGTCCCCGTAAAAAGACCAGCGCCGCGGGAGGAAGCTGTGTCGTTTCGTGACGACTACACACCGTGATGGACCATTATGCGATCCCTGGTGGGATGAAAATAATGGGAACCGAAGGTCTCGTTTGCGAACAGGTCGGTTGCAAGATATTCGTTGGGTTTGGTAGTTAAATTGAACTAATGATTTATTGAACTTGAAGTATTCTTAGGTGTATCGATCGGTGATCTACTATTTTTTGACGAAATCACTGTTCGATGTTATTTGATTTTGAGTAGTTTCATACAATTTGGTAATACAGTTGAACTTAAATAAATGTAACGAAGGTGATGTTTGTGTACTGCAGGAAATTATCGATGACTGTTCCAAGGCTCCATTGAACTGAATATTAAATATGGCATAAATTAATGGCCGTAGCGCGGGTGGAACAAGTATCATTGGATTCAGGATTGCGAGCTCTATTACTTTGACGAATCTCATTAAAAAGTCACTGTTACACCTTGGGGACCACTGTCTTGGAGCCTTCGAACACTCTTCGATGATTCACTGTAGTTCTCAGTGATCGATATCTTCTCTTCGACGGTTGAATGTACTTTCTCCGATGTAGTTGCTCATTCGTACGGATCATCTTGTGATTGGTTGATGTGTTTCCATAGTGGTGGAGATGAAGAACTTCGGTTGATGCGTATGTTATGTAAGTATGCTAGTACGAGGTAGAATTTTTATGACGGTTGCTACCTTTGCCTTCGTTACAATTATAACAATTTATATTCATAATCTTTCCCAGCAATCTGTATGATTGTTATTCATTGCGACCTTAGGAGTACATTGCCAATCCAAAATACACCCTATCGAAATTAAACAATCAAAATAATGAACTATTGGTACCAACACCAAATAAAAAGGCAGTTGTTACTCTCCATTTACCAAAGGATCAAGTGGTCCAGAGGTATTAACGAAGTAAACGGCGTTAAAGTCCAATGTAACAGAAGCTCCTAGCTGTACACCATTGAAGTTAAAGCGTCTGTGGTCTAGAAACTTTCCGCACATAGGATATATCTGTCCTGTTCCACTGCGCCGATGGTCCAGGGTCGTTACCGCTTCTATCTTCCTCCAGTTTCGCCACGGTTTTTATAGTCCACTCTCTCGAACCCCGGTGTGTCTTGATTTACACCGATTCGCCGTTCCGCCGACGGTCTAAGAACAACGATGCTCGTTCCGTCGTCGCCGACCTCGATGGAGTTTCGTTCGGTCGCACGCCACCGGCGTTTTCCCTTCGAGTCTCTTGGCTACATCGTGTAACGTATGTAGTAACGACTTGGAGCCACGCCGAAAACTCAAGAAATTGCATTACCCGGGAATATCGCGGGACGATCGCCCAGGAACCGCAGGAGCCGTTGCTCCCCGATGTTGATTGGACCCGGGGCTAAAGGGGCTGTGTGCCAAGCCCCCGGAAGCTGACGTTAAGCTCCGTCTTCTCTTTATTAAACGCGTTTTCTCGTCGAAACTCCCTTCCCCTCAGCGTACAGATCGGTTTTTCCTGCATTCTTATCGGGGGAACCAGTTACACAGCCGTTGAAGATAAACCAGGGACTTGGATTCGTCGTTTACTCCAACGATGGGGTACACATTCTTCCACATTACAGTAAATCGTCGATGAGTGTTCCATAGCTTCTCGGCACTAGAGTTGTCATGGGTACCTTTACTTTTAACCATGTACACCCACAAGCAAACTCGGCTTCCACTAGGTGAAAGAATGACGTAGGAGAAGAGCCTCCTACTACTTGGTAAATTTATTTCAAGTATTGAAAGAACGCCAGAGATTGGTAGAAATAATCATACATGACTTTGATACGTTGATTCTTATAAACTCACCGAATCATATCTTCATCTTTATAAGAATCAATCAATCAAAGTCATGTGCGATAACTTCTACCAATCTCTGCAGGACCCACATGGCCTGTCTACGCAAGGCAAGACTCCTAGACCTCTACAAAAACTTCGCCGTAGTTCATGGTTAAAAGTAGCAACCCCTAAGAACTCTGCTCTGAGTGTCCAGACGTCATCCCCACCACAGGACGCTTCACTGGTTCCACAGAGGACCCCTCAGTGGTGGGGAAGACGTCTGATCACTCAGCGCCGAGAGGAGCCTTCGAACACTCATCGATGATTTACTGTATTCGTTGGTTCCAGCAAAAGCTTGCTCGTCGAGTCGCTGCCACCGTATCAAAACTTATCGTCCCGACTCACTCGGTCAGATTTGAAATGTTAGCTCCACCTCCCTAGAGTCAGGCGGTGGTAACTGGGTCACCGGTAATTACCGAAGTTATTCACTCAGCTATGCGGACCGAGGCGAGTCGGTTGCGGCCGCCACAGAATTTAAGATTCACTCTACGTACACCGCTCAACGCCTGGATATCTCGGTTTGTCCCAGCCGGCCACCCGTATCCCGCAACGACGGTACCGCCTGCCATCCTGGTTGACGAGCTTCTTAAATTGCATTACCTATTAGAGCGAGTGCCTTAAAATTGTACGCTCCTCCCGGCCGGCTCCGGGCGTATCTGCCTGCTAATTTGCGCCGGCAAAGAGAGGGCTCTCTCGCTCTTCTCGGTAATTCGGGGTTAGCTCGGCTTATCTGGCCAGCTGCAATACTCTTGCAAAGGGGCTGCGAACCTCTCTATCCGACGGCTGTCTCTTGATTAAAGCGGCGATTTTTTGACTCTAGCCAAGATGGAATTATGGACGGCTTCCTCCTTTGAACCGTGCTACCCGAAGGTTTTTCCGTTCTCGGGTTCTTTAGGGGTCGGGGGACTGGGCATTGAGGTTCGTTCGCTGTTAGGTAAATGGTACTCGAATTGAATACGTACTGTCAACCGTAAATATGGGAACGGATTTTGTAATTATGGACATAAAGGATAGCGGGGACATTTTCGGAGACTGATCGAAAGAGTCTTTTGTGGACTTTACTGGTACTGTATGTTGGGGAAGTTTGCCCCACAGTCAGGAAATGAACGTTTTGGATTTTGCAGCTCTGCAGGTTTTGTAAATTAAGGCCATTTTCACGTAGAAATCATTTTCTGACTTTGGGACGAAGTTATGGTACTCTTTTATATTCTACATTCAATAATATTTTACAATTTATTAGGTGTACCAATAAGTAATCCACTACTGATTTTTCATAAATTCGTAGCACAGTTTAAATTTAAAATATCTTTCTACCTTTTGCTTCTTTCGAAATGACAGAGGACATTGTAGAACGAAGCCAAGTATCACTGAAACAATGTAGGATTCTAACTTTCCCGAAAATAAGTATTATATTTGACAAAATATAGTGGATTACTTATTGACACACTTTATATATGAAATATTTATTGAATACGTAAAGATTCAATGCAATAAGCTATTGGTCCGATAGGAAGATCCATTTGAATTAATTAGAAGACTCGAATCTATACTTCCGGTCGTTGGTGTACGCGGAGTGGTACGTGAAAGAAGACAGTAAAACGGAATAAACTACGAAGTACGGTTGCTTTTGCAGAAGCTATTAGTGTCGCAAGCAGGTCTCTCGAATCACGTGAACCAACCCTTAAATCATTCTGGTGTGGTCTGCCGCGGTCATTCGTAGGAGGTAATTTCTTTACGTCACCGTCCATAATAGTGCTCGTTTTATAGCTTTTGTCTGTGTGGACAAACGTGCAGAGATAAACAAAACGGATCGGGCAGAGGTCTGGGTTAGAGCTTCGTGCCAAATTAAATCACCATGAAAGGTACGATCGCAATAATCCTTTAATAGTTTCGTCCAACGTTCTATGCGACGGTTTTTCCTCGGTAAATCTGACAGATTCTTTACATCGATTACCAAGATCCCTAGTACTCGAGGAATTCCAGCATTAATTGACTTCGTTATCCAGGACATTTTTAAAGGATATCGATTGGTACTTCTCGTTTCCCGATCGAAGAATTCTCAAATTCCACGAATCGTTTAACTTTATCAAGATCTCACACAAGTGATCACCGAAGTTCTTCCTCCCGCTCGATCCGTTCTCTCGGTGAATAACCAAGACTGCCATACGTTAACGCTTCCTCCACGCATGTAATATTCCTTTCCAGGCACAGACATTACACGCGGTAGCGTTGAACACAGAGTGTAAGGCCTGTGTACACCGACACAAGCTTTACATGCATAAAGACCGCCTGCTATGAGCACACAAGCCGTCTTAGCTCTCTGCGGTTTACTTTGTGGATCAAGACGACGCAGCTCGCCCGTAGTGCATACGACGTCATCGTCGACGTCTCTACGCATTCAACCGGAACGTTAACGACAGAAAGATGTCACGGTGTAAGCAACGTGTGCATCATTCTTTTCATAAAATATTATTTCTTTGTCAAAGGATACTTCGGTGCATTTTACTTTTCCCTCGACTTACGGATTAACTTTTCAATCTTGTCGTATTAGAGGATACCACGAAGCGGAAATACGGCTAATGGACCCACCCCCTAAGGGGTTAAACGATTGTGTCCTCTGTGAAATTAATCAATATGGATTAATTTTCGCGTTAGACGATCCCTTTGCGCCGAGTGTATCGTACAGTACGACACACAGTGACCCCCATTCGATATACCGGGTCTGGATCAACGTGACCGACAAAAGCGTGCTGGTGTAGACGCAGGACGTAAATATCTTCAATGGCGTATCGATGCGGCCATACGTGACATATGGGCGCGCGTGTACTTGGCCGCGTACAGGTACCGCTGGTACACGGTGGTCAGCCTCGTGTCCGCGCAAGTTTCAACTATTCACGTTAGAGCGAGCACGATCGATGTCTTTAAAGGGCTTTGACCAACGGCTAAAGGTCTGCATGAACTTTCCGAGCCTC